CCAAACAGTAATGAATCCGTGTTTAATCGCAAAATATACATTGGACATTTATCGTCCATGCTTACACGTTGCATATTGCAATATTTCAATATCCGATTTTAAATCCCGGTCGCTGACATATCAAAGCGCAGCACTATTGGTAGTACTTAATTATTTAAGTGTAATCCTCGATACAGGAAACTCGACTGTCACGCGTAAGCCAAGGATTTGTGACAAAGGAATGAGAGTTATGCTGGCTCATCTGTTGGCGTACTAATGAAGTTCTATTATTTATTGATTAATCGTGACAATTCATGGTTTAGTATATCCAATTGATTGTGGGTTAAAAGGAAGGAAGGGTTAATGTCTCGTAGATGGAGTAGACGTAAACGTAAATGCGACTACAGAGATACTTAATTTCGGGCAAAAAAAAACTTGATTTGTACTAGCTGTAACCACAAAACATATAAAGAAGGTGTAACCAAGGAATAATTAACACTACAATTCCATGACTGTAACATTACTAATGGAAATGAGAGTGTTTTAAGTGAATGTTGTTGTATGTTTTAATAAGAATCCTTCATTATTAATTTTCAAAAATGCAGCTCCACTTTTTATAAACAAACTAGCTTCTGCCCGCGACTTCGTACGCGCAATCCCATTTTCTCCCGTTCCCATAAGATTTTCAGGATCTCCTGACAATAACAAACACAACAAAAAAAAAATCAACCAAATCGGTCTAGCCATTCTCATTATTTATTAATTAATTAGCCGTTATGGGGTGACAACGGGAAACGAGTTTAATTATATATATATATATATATATATATGGATGTTAGCTACACTAACTAAGAAACTTGCTATAGAAAGCAGCTCAAACAAAAATCACTTCAAACATAGGTACAACTCGGAGACTATTTTCATCAATCTTTTGAAGCGAATCTCATCTGAATTTCCACGTTGAAACTACCTAGTAGAAGTAACCCTTTAGATTTTTAAACGGGAGTTTTCGATCGGTGGAAATCAGCGGTACGTGCTGAGAGCCGCTGTTTGAGTGAACGTGACTTTATACAGCTCCACCGGCTGGCTGGCTGGCTATACGGGTTACACCTGAACGATAACTAAGCCATGAACCGTTCTATTGTATTTGCTGGGATTTTATATATTGATTTAAAGAACTTGGGAGTCATTTAAACGATATTGGTAGTTGCAAGTTTCATAAAAGTGGAAAGCCATTTATTTTCCTTTATTATAACTTTTGTGACACATATTAAATTGATCAGTTAAATCATGATCTGTCACTTGCACGACGTTCGCCGCTTCGCGCAATACTGCTCATCAATATGAACCCCTACTTTGGCTTGAAACTAGTCAAATATAACATAATGTAACATAACATCACGCCTTTTATCCCCGAAGGGGTAGGCAGAGGTGCACATTATGCCACTGTACAATGTAACACCCACTTTCACTATTTATGTTATGAGTCCCATATAATAGGGGGTGAGCTTATTGCCATATACCGGGCACAATTCCAGACTCCGTGCTACTACTGATAATTTTTAACGGCCATCGAGGCAGTCAACTACCAACTAGTCAAATATCTCATATAGTAACGTGAGTTAAACACATCTAATTTTGGTTTTTCCTGTCCAATTAAAGTAACTGTTGCGTATTTTAGGAATGATTTAACATCCTTTACTCATACAGAAGTTCACATAGTATAATTTGTCCATTACATCAAACTTCATCTCCAAGGGTAAGACAGATTAATAGGCCCATAAATTCGTGAGTAGTCCAAATTGTCTCCAACCTTGTCTTTGAGTGTCGTCATCAAAAACTTAAGTCGTTACTCATTCGTCAAGTTTATTTGTTTCAACCCGTGCAGTCTCAAGTTCTTTTCGTACGCCATTAAAAGTTTTTGATTCGTTTAGAAGTGTAAGGGGTATAGACATGCTACTTTTTGGATGGACGATCAGCAATTTGGTAGCAGTAGCAATACAAGGATTTTTGGTTAGTCAAAATTGTCATGATTTGGAGGGGTGTTCAATATCCAACGTATAGCAAGAAATTCTTATCTTTCTTATGATAAGTTAATATTGAAAATCCCATCATTTAGGAAATATCTGTAGGTAGTAAATTAAACATTATACCAAATCATTGCGATTGCTATGTCTATCTTCTATATCTGTTTAGTCGCATTAACCAGCGATGTAATTGCTGACTAAAAGTAGCGTGTCTGCTCCATTCTTAACCGGAATTCCGTGATCTCCGTTATCTTCGTCCAATTAAAGGGTTCTGATGTTATTATACTTTGAAAAGTTTATGGTGAAAATTTAGGCGGTTGGACTAACTCCTTGTTGGAGGTAGAATTGATTTTGTTTGTGTGAGTGTTACCTATTGACTTTGTGTTCGCAGATTGTGTTACGCGAATACAATCTGAGTGCAATGGAAGGAACAAGAATATTCTATTAATTTCAGATCCAGATCAAGATGTTACTTTCAGAGCTATAAATAATCATAAACACGAAGACGTTGAAAATAACACATTAATGAATGATGCAAAAAACAAACTAATATCAGAACAATTACTGGTTTTCGTAGCTCCTAATGGAAGAATAAACATTAAAAGGGTTAAACCACGTGAAAGACACAAATGTCCCCAAAATGAGGACTCATTTATCGAAACAATTACACAAATTACAAGGTTAAAGGTTGAATTAAGAGTTAATTTGAGGATAAATAAACAAAATGGGGTAACAGAAGGTTGCCACCCACATAGGCTCGAAGTCCCGAAGGCCCAAAGTAATGACGCGTTCAACAGCCTTGCTAATGATCTTACATAATGCCATCCTTCTAATCATCTTAATTTATATGCATGGATGACATTTTTGTAAAATACCCATTTTTGGGGTTTAATTAATGGAGAATTAAACAAAAAAGCAAGCATTCTTATCGTTAAAATAGAAGACGTCTCTTCATATCAAAAGCAATGATGAACAATGCATTTGGAAACCAGGACATAAAGATCATATTGATGATAAAGACTATATTAATAGCAAAAGGGATTAAATATTATGACCACCAGAAGATACTTTGATACCCTAAGTCCTTTTAGCAAAAATATATACTGAACGCCAAAAATGTAGTAAATGATCACCAAATGTTGTACCTAAATGATTACCTTTGATGGCAGACAGACATGGTAGGCTAGTAATAGCTACCGTCATGCCATTCGTTAGATTACTTCAAACCCTGCACTCAGAAATTGGAGCCCAAGTAGCGGTGTATCGTCGCCGCAGTCGCAATCGCAATCGCAGTTTAATGAAATACATTAAGTATTTCATTAAATTGCGATTTTAAATATGGTACTGACTAACAATTTTTGAGTCAACATTGATTTGTTAGGAAATCATTTGTTCTAATAGGATAGCTAGATGTACAAACTTTGGTTATATGTAGTTTTAATACGTCGATATATCATATCGAAAATCCCGAAAATTTGTTCATAGAAAAGTAGTCAATAAACATTGGAAATAAGGTCTATAATGTAGTTAGTGGAGAGCGGTCACCGGTGACCGCTTAGGGATTGAACAGTTAAATTAAAATGGGGTTTGAATTCTGGAGATCATTTATTATTTTTGACTGATATTTGTTACAAAATCAGGTGATACGTTAAACATAAGCTATAGCAAAATAATGATAAAGATTTAGTTTTAAGTGCAATAATTTTAAAAGCATTTTTTTAATGGTAAGGTCTCATTCAACGTGACGGACAAAATCCCTTTAATTCAACAATAGACGTCCTTCGACAGATGAAGATGATGATAGTAATAAACATATGAAAATTGAAACTGGAATGACGTGACTTTTTCTCTTTCCTATTTTTTTTTTTATTTGCAACACGTAGTACATTTGAAGTATTTTATTTTGATCTAACATTGACCTTGGATGGTCAATGTACTCTATCTAATGGCGATGTCCTGTCACCAGATAATATAACTGTGACCAAAGTGATATGCTAATATACATTATCTAATCTTTTGACGTAAATAAAAAATTAAATTCGTTTCAGTATTTTTGGATATACCTAGGTAAGGTTATACTAAACACGTAATTTGTGAAAGTGGTAACAATTTTTTGTTATTTTAATTTGAGCAGAGGTTGTATGTACTTAAGGGCATCTTTTCGAAAAATTATGGCATGGAACAATATCTTTTTTTATTAGATAAGCCAGTAAACGAGCAGACGGATCACCTAATGGTAAGCAATCACCTATTGAAACCTGAAACAATAGATGCATTACATATGCCTTTTGCGAATTGGGAATGTGAGGATTGTGGGGGATTCGGGGACTGTGAAGCCTGGAGAGGTGGGGTATATAACAAAAGAAGATAATAGGACAATCAACATAAATGAAAAACACGTTGCATCACTACAGGATAACTGTACACATAAAGAAAAAGTAGCAACGAAAGAAGCTAACGATATCAAAATATATTTTCCATGAAGCAAATAGAGCAATAGACATTAAATAGGTTACATCGCTATCTAACAAAGATATTTTATAACTAAACCGCAAAACAACTATGCCAATTCGGAGCCGCGGAGAATCTAACGGGTTACCGGGGCTCCGGCTCGAAGTGCAGGAGAAGGAACGGGGTGGTTTTTAGTCAGTAAGAGTCTGACACTCCCTCCCGCTTCACCCAGGCGGGAGCTGTCATTCGCTGATTTTCCCCCCTTAAAAAAAAATCCACAACACAAAAACATCAACTTCCGTATATGAAACACGAAAAACAATAGAAGAAAACCAACATAAACTTAAAAACAAGCAATCAATATATTTTTACAACTTAATAGTAAATATCTGCAGATCAAATCGTAAAATGATAGTACTTATCACCGTAAAAGTAACACCTCACTCTTCATGAAGTAAATAGCATTGTAAATACTGATAAGCTTTCATATATATATGATGTAGTACATGTGTTTCCCAGTAGTTCTGATTGTATGGTGGAAAAATGGCAGTGTTGAAATTTATTGCATGTGCTCTGTTTATGGTAGTTGCTGTTAATGCAAGCTATTCTGTGTATCAGACTGTAAGTAATTACAATATGACCAATCATGTAGTTCTAAAATTGTAGAACTGCTGACGACTTAGTCAACGGTTTTGAAACTTGAATGCAGCTTCATAAAAAAAGAAAGTCCATTGCCTCCAATAACATATTCCTTAAACCTGTACATTTTACATACATAACTTCACGCCTGACGCCTGTCTCCGAAACTATGGAACGCCAATTGCTGAATTGCAACTGATGAAACATTCATCAGTTGCAATTGGTAACGGTATGTACCGTTTTCACTTCCACAACATTCATCAGTCCTGTCCAGTCATGCATTCCCGTCGGTTAAAGATACTTTTAATCTCTAGACGGACATATTTATACTGACCAGATTGACTTCATTTTAGAGAAGAATAAATCTCAAATGGGAAAATACTATTACAATTAGCCTTATATTTTAACTGTTCTGCGAATGCAATATAACATTTTCATCGATTCATCCAGCAGCTGCAATTGTTCTTCGCCATTTGTGTTCCTTTAATGTTGTCCCAATTGTTTCATTATTATGGTGCAATTTCCAACGAAACTGAAACCACCTACAAGTAAATATTACAAGTTTATCACCACTATAAATCATTACTTCCATCATGCCTACCTTTAATTGTTATCAGTTTAATATCCATAGAAAGATGCCTCGATATGTGTAGATTCTTATCAAATCACCTAGTTAAATATTGTTATCTATAAGGAAATGAAAATCTTACTCAAAGTAACGATCACACTTTAATTCTGTAAACACAACTAAATATAGTTGAAGAGCAATTATACTTGGATAGAAATATATTTTTAGTTGCCATTGAGAATGACATTGCAGTAGCTTCTACGATAGAAGACTATATGCGCAGAGTGATCTAAAACATATCCTTAAAATTTACGCATGCTTCTTTAGTTTCCTCCACACCACAATCAGTCACCAATCGCCTACAATTATACCATTAACAATTTGTCATAGAAGTAAAGAGTACATGAACGTCCTTCAAGATGGTTCATCTTAATTATCCTAAGTTTTGGCCTTGAGCAAGAACAGCAAGATTTCACTCCAAAGTCTAAATGAAGTCGTAAATAAATTCATTCCAACAAACAAAAATTTATGCGGCCTACATATTTTACTGCTTTTGAGGAATTTACCTCTTAGATAATAAATAGGTCTACCTAGAAATTCAGTCTCAAAAACATTCCAACGGAGAATTCGTCTTGTTTTCTTAATTTAACTAGACAATTTTGTCCTAAACTTAAACAAGATTTACTTTATTTCAGCCTTTAATACAAAGGTATTAGGTAAGATTAGTTAGGAACTGTATCGAAATATAAATAAAGAAAACTGATTTGCTTCTTGAAGAATCAATACAGAAGATTTGAAAAACATTGTCAGAACCAACAGATTTGATTATACAAAATGAAAAAAAAACGAAGATCCCATCAGCTTATGTTAGTCTCTGGCTCCTAAATTCTTCTTTATTTCATCTCCTCAGATTGAAAAAATCAAAGCAGATGGCTTCGAAGCTGAAGCCCATAAAGTCACCACATCTGATGGCTACATCTTGGAAATGCACAGGATCCCTCATGGCAGAACAAACAAGGACTCAACAGAAGACCGGCCTGTGGTCTTAGTGATGCATGGATTCATGTCTGCCTCCCAAGCCTTCGTAATGCTTGGACCTGATACGAGTTTTGGTAAGATCTTAATTAATTTTCTAATCTGTACAGCCCATTTTAAGAATTTTAAAGAAGATTACAATTTATCGAAGGAATTCATCAGCATGACAATAATTCCTATTAATTAATTTAGACATCAAATCACAAAAGACCAGACTGCTCACCATGATCAGTTGATTTCTAACTAGTTCTAGTTTTTAAGGTCTCAAAACTATGATATTCTATTTTCCAGCATACCATTTAGCAGACGCTGGTTTTGACGTCTGGATGGGAAATGCAAGAGGTAACAAGAATTCCCGTGCTCACGTCTCATTGAACCCTGACGATGCGGTGCAGAAGTACGAATTCTTTGACTTCAGCTGGGAGGAGATTGGAATGATTGATCTACCAGCAATGATTGACTACATCCTCAAGACTACTGGGAAAGATCAGCTGCATTACATTGGACATTCTCAGGTAATTGTCAAAAGAAGAATTACTTTAAACTATTATGATATATGTATGAATCTCCAAGTAAATCATCTAAGCTTTAATCGGATCATATAAATCTGTGTATCTCCTGGCGATTTGTCTTTAGGAAATGTTTACTGTTTGTTTTATACGCTCTCTTTATCTCCTCAGGGTGGCACAGTATTTTTGGTGATGGCTTCCATGCTGCCTGAATACAACAACAAGATAGCATCAGCTCACCTTTGTGCAGGAGTTGGGTACCAAGAATATTTCCCTGATGAACAATTGAAGCAATCCGCGCTTATGACTGATATGATCTATGTAAGTACATCATTTTTATTTAACTAAAATCAATCGTATCGTAGTCAAGATGATTTAATTTAAAAATGCCAAGAGATAAAACATTATTTCAGTAGGATAATGGCATCTATAAGCCCTAATCATAAGTATAATTTTCGTGTATCAGCTTTCAGAAGACCTAAAACTACAAATCACATTGTTTTGCAGAAGAAAATAGGTCTTAAGTGGTTTTATACCAAAGTTATTTAACTTAATAATATAAATCGTTTTACTAACAATATCGCCCGTTATCCGTAGCCCTAATGACTCTCATTATCATTAACCTGCCGAGCTATTTACAAAACGTTCACCTGGATATAAATCATAAATTACTGAGGTTCGCCTGTGACTTTGCGGAATAGAAGGAAACTTCGAGTGATTTTATAAATGTAAAAGTGGCTAAGTTTGTTTGTTGTTGTTAGGCTTTATATGGAAATTGCTGTGTCAATTCTGATGTAACTATTACTTTACTACGGGGGGTAGGAAATAGGAATCTTGGATGCAATAATAAATGTTTAAGTGTTACTTAATAATAATACCTCATAAGTCCACCTGTATTACCCCATGGTAACTTGGAGAAATTACTGTTATCAGCATTGAATTCTTATGTCTCGGAATTTGTGTTTAACTTTCATCAATATTTATTCGCAATTTTAATTTTCGTACGGGGTTTTTTTCGAAATTATCGTATTAATCGTGAATTATTTTCGAAAAATCCATAAACCCATTAATCGTGAAATGTTATTTTAGAAATACCCAGATATAATTATATTTTCAACGATTAGCTAATTCTGATCGGACGAAATATGGGATTTTTAATTTTCGATAAATCACTATCTATCGGGGTTTTCCGAAAAGCATTTCCGTGATTAACCTGTCTATGAAAAAGTGATTGTTTTGGCTGATGTTACATTCTTTTGTCAAGGACTAATGTAATCAGTAAAAGAGGAGGCATTTATTAGTTTTCCATCGTTGAATTGGGATGATGAGAGGGTATAAAAATTAAAAATCTAATTAGTCCGTAAGTTAAGCAATGAAAAAATATTAGACACATATTTTTATTTTTTTTGTATAATAAAATAATACTTAGATAAAACGAATCAAAGTTTACGAGTGGGGTCTAAAACGTCATTTCTAGGTATAAAATGTACATAGAAGTGACGTCACGCGACATTTCAAATCAATATATCGTCGAAAGTAATCGTTTCTGTAAGAAAATAAAAAAATACGTGTCTAATGATTTAAAATAAAACCAGACGGACATTAAAATACAAATTAGGCAACTACCCTATTACACTAATTTTAGATTAATATAGATAACTAATCTTAGAAAGTATATATATATATAACTCGGAAAAAGCCACGTTGGTAATTGGCCCCTCATGCATGAAAAGCGGGCGTCTTAAACCTCCAGGCCCCTACATTATACCTACTTACTTGTACAGGATAAAATCGAAGTGTGGAAAACTTATGACATTTTCAACCGACTTCATTTAAATTTCTTTTATTTTTTACAGTATACTGCTTTACAAGCGGGAGCAGTGGAGCTGTTCCCTCCTAATTCTATTGAGATGCTGCCTGATGATATATTCCAGTGGCCGGAGTATTGTCTCGGCAGTAAGAACATGAAGTACATGTGCCAGATCTTCGGCATCACCCGTATTACGGTAAGTTCAATAGTATACGTATATTTTTCTTTTAGGAAGACTCCATGTATGTTTTAAAGGGTCAAGGGCAATTGACTCCCTGATTTAATGATTTTAGTATTTTGCTAATATAGCTTTTCAATAATAAGACAGTACATGATACAACATAATATCACGCCTTTTTGTCCCCGAAGGGGTAGGCAGAGTTGCACATTATGACACTTATTGCCAGTGTACAATGTAAGGCCCAATTTTCACTATTTATGTTATAAGTCCCATGTAATAGAGGGTGAGCCTATTGCCATTTACCGGGCACAGTTCCAGACTCGGTGCTACTACTAAGATTAAAAAAATCCAGTAATACCGACTCGGGAATGGGGCCCGAGACCCCTTGCCCGGCAGTCACACTTGCGATGGCCTACGAGGCAATCATAGTCAATAATAAAATTATATTAATATTCCCAAATTGATTGGTATAATGCATTGAATTCGATTTTTATTGGTTTTCCCTGAAAGGCTAGGCACATTTATCTCGCACCTAAACCAATCCCACGATAAAGGATAGGAAATACCATGAAGCAGATTAAAAAACAAATTGCCAATATTAGTACGTTTTTATCAAAGAATTCCCCAATGACTAATGATATTATTTTTATCGTTACTTTATCTATACCGGAATCTTTTATTGTGATTGTTGTTATAAAGTGTTTCAAATACTTTTATACCTGCAGTAAATTCAGCTTTAAGCCAAGTCAAAGTACAATCACTATCACTACTCACTACATAGTATAAAACAAAGTCGCTATCCGCCGTCTGTCTGTCTGTCCCTATGTATGCTTAGATCTTTGAAACTACGTTTGATGCGGTTTTATTTAATAGATAGAGAGTGATTCTTAAGGAAGGTTTATATGTATAATACATGCATATTGCACCCGTGCGAAGCCGGGGCGGGTCGCTGGTTCTGTATAAAAACAGTTTATAGTGACGTTCTTTCAATAAATAGACTTTGAACTGTTACGTATCACTACATAGTATAAAACAAAGTCGCTTTCTCTGTCCCTATGTCCCTTTGTATGCTTAAATCTTTCAAACTACGCAAAGGATTTTGATGCGGTTTTATTTAATAGATAGAGTGATTAAGAGGAAGGTTTATATGTATAATACGTGCATATTGCACCCGTGCGAAGCCGGGGCGGGTCGCTAGTTTATAATAATACTGTGTATTATATAAAGCGGAAGAGTTTGTTTTTTTGTTTGTTTGTTTGAACACGCAAATCTCCGTAACTACAATTCTGATTTGAATAATTCTTATTTGTGTTGGATAGCGCATTTATCGAGGATGGCTATAGGCTATAAAACATCACGCTACGACCAATAGGAGCGGAGCAAGCGTGTGAAACCGCGCGGGAGTAGCTAGTTTATAATATTTCTCGTGACATGTTACTTAATTGACTAAAAATCGCGGGTAAGATAATGACAAAATATTAGATACGTATTTTTTTATTTTGTCACACAAGACAACAATACTTACAAAAAACGTGGGAGCGAAAACGTCATTTCTACGTATAAAACGTACCTAGAAGTGACGTCACACGATATATTTATTTCTGTAAGAAAATAAAAAAAAACGCGTCTACCATTTTAAAATAAACTACCAGACGGACGTTAACATCAAGTTATTATCTACCCTACACTTTTACTGAAGATTTAAAATGTTTAATTCAGTTCAATGTACAGTAAAAATCATTATAGTATTGATTGTAAGTAGTAATGAAAATGAATACAGAAATGATATACATGTCCATATAACATTTCTAACAAAAAGTTCATGATCATAACACAGCCGGGTAAAAACAAACACGCTGTATTAGGCTATAAAAAGTAAACAATGCTTTAATAACAGCGAAATGAAAAGAAATATAAATATGCCATTTATGATTATCATAATATACATTTTAATTAATGAATTATTGTTACTGGTTGAATAAATGTTTGGAAATATGTACTGAACAGATACACTTTACATTTATGCGGCAAATAATGTATGTTCAATGAAAATAAAAAACAATTAATTAATGAATACACCATCCATAGTCCGTGACCTTTTATAAGATTATCTCGGTTGGTGTGGTGGTTACGGAACCGGCTGCCGCGTAACGTGTAGGGGATTCGATCACCGCACGGAGGAACTCGTTCTGTAATCCATAAATTGTTGTTTCGGCTCTGGGTGTCATATGCATGTGAAATTATGTTTGTAAACATACCGCCGACACAAGAGAAAATTATAGTGTGGGGCAACGTTTTTTATATAAAAAGGAAAAAAATATGAGGGTTTTCCACAATCTCCTCGCTTGGTGGGCTGGCTGGAGATCAGAGTTTAAAAGATTTATCAGAGAGCGCTGCTGCCCTGTCTCTGTCAAATATGTATAGTCCCTTCGCCGGTTCTCATACCACCCACGTCAAAAGTAGGGTTGCTGACAAAGAATGTGTAGTCTAACGTCACAATACGGCTCGTTATCCGTTAAATAATCTGTTCATTAAAATTATATTAATCAAGCCATAAGTTCCAAATGTGGGCACTTTTCCGCTTGACTGTACACAATCTTTGTTTTTATTGGTACAGCTGTGACTGCGATTAGCCAATCAATTGCCCACATTAATTATTGTGGCGGGAAATATTTCTTATTAGGGAAAACAATATCATTGTTGGGTCACATTTCTCTCTAATCCACCATGTTTAGGCAATACTATTCTCAATCCATCATTTCTTTATGTTCTTTTTCTGTCTCCTTATTTTGATGCCAGTTTAAAATGACTATTGAATAACTAAGGATTACCAACCAGCTATCTTAGTTTCAATCGTCAGTGACGAGTTACTAACCGAGCTAAATATTATAGCAGCTACAGAGTATGATGTATTAAAATTGCTTCTTTCTATTTCCAGAATAACTACAACGCAGCCACCGACCAGCCAGGAGCAGCTCTTAAACAAATGGCACACTACGGTCAGAACATAAGAGATAAACTCTTCAGACGGTACCACTACGGATCAGCAGGGAACCAGGAGAAATATGGATCAGAACTGCCACCTAAATACGACTTGAGTAAAATCACTACCTTTGTCACTATGCATTATACACTAAATGATAATTTGCTGGATGAAAGAGACGTGCTGGCTATGGTTGCTGATATTCCAAGAGCCGTCGCCCGTCAGGTCGCTAGGACCAGCTTTGAACATGGAGACTTCGTGGCAGCAGCCGACGCAAAAGAACTTGTCACAGATTATATTATTGAAGAGATTAAAAATGCTGGGTAAGTTATTTAATTCTATTGTAGCATGTTGCATAAGAATGAAGTACGTTGTAAAATATTTTAAGATTAACGCTCTTGTTATCATTATTTTGCCAAATTCTGTTGAGAAGTTTTCCCTAAACCAGATTGGTTAACTAGTAGTGGTTAACACATAGACTAACGAAAACGCATTATAAAAACATACTTTATTGTTTTCCTTACTATTCCAGTCAAGAAAACAACTTCACAGATAACGATCAAGTGATCGTGGTGGACAGTCCTCCTACTAGTGCCCCAGGCGATGAAATAACTAGTGCCCCAACCACTGAAACTTCTTCAACTTCAGCACCTGATGATTCACCTGGAGGAGCTGGTACCATAGTACTGAACGTCTACCTCATAGTGCTAAGCTTGTATGTAATGTTAAAGTAGGGTTTAGTTGATAATATTTATACTAATGTAAATATAGAATAGGCTATGATAAGTTAATAAAAAAACCGATATTTATATATGTATTTTTGTTGCTTTTCATTTCATACTTCGCACTTCGCTTAACTTGTTTTAGAAAAATGAAAGGTGAAACGAACACGATAGAAGACTGATTTTTTTCTTAATTTAGTTTCTACTACATTTGTTGCTAAGTGTGCTACACATAACGATTATCATAGAGGAACAGATTGCACAGTCTATAATAGTCATCTGAGTCATTGATTAGTGATTACAATAGCAGCTAGACGAGATAGCATAACAACAGTAATCTTGAACTCAGCATCACGTACAACATATGATAAAGATCTTCATTTCATACCTTTTATTGCAAACACAAAAAATAAATATATAAAAACACAAACTGCCATTAACCCTTGAGAAGAAAAATATCAAATGAAGAAAGTATTACAAAGACAGTTACAAGATGACGTCATAAACGAAAATGTTGATACAACAGCATTAACAATAACAGTAAACAGGCACAAGGGTACAAGTAAACAAGGCTCTTAAATGAATGTGCACAGAATCATCGTACCGACTATTTATCTTCGTGTTCATACATCGGAAACTCGGAAAGTAATACGAACTTTACTCCGGGGTAATCAATTTTCGGATGCATTTGAAGTTGGTGCGTATACTTGTAAGTGTTGATAGGACTATTTGGCTAATCCAGTAGGATATTAAAGAGAGGTTCTGCAGGATCTCTTATTGTTCTTATTTTTTGAAGACTAATAGTCGATGGTAAATGTATCTGGGACAAAGACTGTCTCCATGGTATCCAGTCAATTGCATTGCAATCATTTATAATTATGCAACTGATGCCGTGACCAATATGGCCATGACAGTACCAAATAATTTATTAATATAGGCAAGGCCACCAGCTACTTAACCAAAATATGTATCATTATTAATATTCATCTTGTATTTGAATGATAAAATATTCCGTTCCCATCGTCTCCATGAAACTCCTTACAAAAAATTTCAAAATATTTCTGTGATAGCAAAATAATGATGTACGAAAATATGGTGTAAGGAAATTAGTCCCGCTCCGTAGCGATAAAGGGTGAGTTGGGGTGTTGAATACGTTAAATATTTACTTATCGAAAGTCTAGGAGACGAACATAGCAACACCGACAATGTGTTCCGGTAGGGAGAAAATGGGAGATTGAAAGATGATAGTATCAGTAAAAGATAGGAATATTTTGGGAAGGATATTACAAAATACTTTTAAAAACGTTTCAGATCAGTCAATGAACTTGATAGTCTAAGTATTCAAGATCCCAAATTTCCCAAAGACCAATATGAAGCACCTTATAATTGGTTTCAAGTACATATGAAGTTTCTCTAGAATCCTCTACGGTAAGGCATGGAAACCGCATTGACGATGCGCTTGGTATACTAATGCCCGGTTCAGAGGATACAGCCGACATGTAGTTACTAGTTAGGAAGCAATGTATAGTAATATCGTTGACATCAGATACTCGACTGGCTGCAGTAATTAATGCGTTGCGTGTCAAGCATAGAATTTGATATGCTTGTTAGAGAATGGATACGTCAGTCATAATTGCCTTAACGGGTGTGATCACAAATGATATGGGATCTTTCATTTTCCTGACTCTTAATGCAGATATTTTAATGGAGTGATGTGATGTAATGACTATTATAACTTTTGAAAAAAAAAATATCGACTTTTGTATTGAACGGTTGTCATTTAGGTACCATCCATTGCCAAAAACTAAACACAGTTGAAAGAATTTGACACATAACTTAATGATAGACATAAAATTACGAGCATCGCCCAAAAAGTCAAATACTTTAGTGACAACAGTGACGAGAGCAGCCATTATGTGTAGGATACCACGGCCTCACAGAAAACCGACGTGAAATAACGCGTTGTGTTTCGCCGTGTGAGTGAGGTTACCGGAGGCCCAATTACCCCCCTCTCTAGTCCCCGTCTCAAGAATCCCCGAATCCTCCACAATCCTCAAATTTTCAATTTCCAAAAGGCCGGTAACGCACTTGTAACGCCTTGGTGTTTCAAATGTCCATAGGCGGCGCGGATTGCTTACCATCAAGTGATCCGCCTGTTCGTTTACCGGCTTATGCTATAAAAAAAGCCATATTGAACAACAGCATTTTAAAGTCAGTGTTACCCATCAAAGAGTACTGGAATAAATCATTGGGCCTTCATGACGTACCCCTGTCCGTCGAAATTAATGATGGCTGACCACGGAACGGTTTTCAAAACATTTATCAGAAATTTTTGCGTTGATATTGTTATTTGTTTTGATGGATGCATGGCACGAGATGCTGACCTATCCGTATGTTTATGGTGTTCCTTTTATACGAACATTTTTGCATATTGATTATTGGATAGCATGTGTATATGAAAAAATCCTTAGTTACTTACTTCTCGTATAGCAGTTATTCGTAATACGTAAATATGCGACATTTCACTTTAGGCACAAATCCAGATTCTTTCTTATTTTCTAAAATTAAAAACTTGTAATGTAAGAATGACGAAAGGTGCAATAAAAACCCACAGTAAGATTAAGATTAAAATATTTTTATCATCAAAATGTCTGATGTAATACATTTTCAAAACAGAAATTCCCGAAAAAACAACAGTAAAGCAATTAAATTGAAATATTTAAGGGTGAACGTAACCGTTAATTTCCCACAACGAGTGGGTTCTTTCGCAATCCTTGAGTAGAGACACCATGATATAGCATTTCTAATAAAGACCATCCTGAGACGGCATTAGATGAACGAAGAACGACTTATGCATTCACCATAGCTATGGTGAATGTAGCTACATATGTTAATAGTTGCAAGATTATAAGAAAACTGAAAAGATAATGTGAAAAGTCGTTAGCAGGACAAGGCATATTATTATGAGGTTAAATATAAAGATTAAATAGTCATAAGCATACCAACGTAACCAATGAAAGATCGGTTATAAAAGAACTGCATAAACAATTCATTCATTATGAAGTTGAAGAAGACAGATGTCAGTCATAATACAATAACAACACAATTGTGTCACTGGTGTTAGATCTAGATGCAATTGAAGAATTGTTCCCTAATATTGGAACTGGTGGTCACCGTACATTAGTGGGGCTCATAAACCTTGTTATTTGGGTCACAACACATTTGCTATCGGGTCATGATCGCTGTTGCTGACGGCATAAAATATTCCCTGTATTTTGGCATTCGTTTTGTTCATATTTCGTTGATAAGAAATCGTTTTGTTGATATAGATGGTAGATTTTTGGTGGTATATATAGTCTGTGTCATAAGTATCTGGACTTGGATATACATTTTTTTTTAATTTTGCCCCAAATTAGGATTTTCTCCTGTGTCGTGAGTGCGTTTACAAACATACAAGTTCACATACACATGACACCCAGACCCGAAACAACAATTTGTGGATCACACAAAGTGTTGTTCCGTGCGGGAATTGGACCCGCGACACGTTGCACGGCAGCCGGTTGCCCAGCCACCGCAACAACCGTGCAGTCAACATTTGCGTTGCTGGATTGGAAAGAAATATGTATTTTGAAGGACGTGTAGCGTCTTTTTGTAACTAAAACCGACATATGTTGTCCAAGTTAATAACATCTTTAGGTATTGCTTGATGAAAAATTTGTCAATACTTTTCTAGGAGTCATAAGCCTTGAGGTTAAAAAAATTATGCTTTTAAACCAATAAACTTTCATTTCTTCAAGATACCTGATAGATAATTTTACTATTACTATCTATACTAACTTCATGTTTGAATTTTGCCATAAAAATCTGTAATGTCTTGAAGACAAAGAAATTCTAAAGGGAAGAAAGACACTTTATTCTACCGATAAAATTCTATCCTCCATAGAAGAATAGTAACTCCGGTTCAATGTGTACCACTCCCGAATTTTATAGCATTTAGAAAATTTTCGCTTTAAAGCCCCATTCACGGCTAACGCTTCTACGTTTCTCAAAGGACAATATTATGTCAATTCGCGCCTTCTCAAAGCCATATATCTCCTTCAGACCCGAAGCAGCTTCGTTCAAATGGAAATTTCTCTCACGTAAGCAATAAGTACCGTATTTCACAGCGATAAGGTGGAGATTCGTGTAGCTAGTTGAATAAACAAATCAGTATGAAATATCAAGGTGAAAAAATGAAATGTCTCCGTAAGAATAGATCCATTCATTCGTTTTGAAGGGAAATCAAAATAACAAAAATGTTTCTTTTTCCTTTTTCGTCTCACTGCAGGTGATTTTTCACTTTAATATGCTCGATATTCGATCAATTTCCTTTTTTATTTAGCTGATGGCATTCTAAAGAATATTGAGTGGTAACAGATTTTATATTTCACAGACGTCGAGCCATTTTATGACTGAGGAAGATATTCAATTTTTAATGAGCTTTGCAGATGGTCTAGATAATCATGAAATAAGATTCAGATATTTTGTAAATACGACGCCTGTTTCTCGGTTTATGTGTAGGAATGACGCTTAATTTTTGAGTGAATCAAAGTTTTCAAGGAAATAAATTATAAAAGATGCTTACCAAAAATAACCGTACGGTTGACCACAAAAATAGAGAACTCGATACATACCTGAAATAAACAGAAAATAATCATTATTAATGGATAATTAATTTCACATCAAACAAAATGCCTTAACACAATTCGCATAAAAACATAAAAATTAAGGTCATCAGAAAATCAAATGAAGCACTCGCAGTAATGCAAATAGTATTGTTCCGAATGATTGGACAGAAGTGACTAGTGACTTCGGTGTCCAGAGTAATGTTCAAAGCGGTCCAAATACCAGAGGACTGCGGTCAAACGCAACGCATTCCCAACGCGCCACGGATACTTTAGCTACCGTCTAGCGTTGAATCTAATGACAGTTATGGAAGTGGTGTTTCGTGAATTATTTATTGTGTGCGACAA